TGAAGATCTGAGGCGCCTTCAAGTCTTTGATCATCGTTGTCTGCGAAGCATTGCTGGTGTCGGATGGCACCAGCGTGTCCGCAACGATGATGTGCGTAGGCGAGTACTAGTTAGTGATAATCATGCTAGCTCCCTAGAACAACAGATAGCATTCCGGAGACGAGCTGTCGATAACATAACTGCTTTAGCTTCATCGGTGGAAGTCAATACAGCTCGGAGAAGTATCATCTTTCCGTAGTGCTTTGGGCTTGTGTGACGGGTGGCCCGCGTCAGCTTTGCAGATGTAGCTACAACGCCTAGAATGTCACATACGAAATTCCACTGGTTCACATCATATAGTTGCTTACCTTCTAAGGAATTTAACATCGATTCTGGAATCTTGGTGCAGGTTACCAATGGGACACTATGTGATTTCCTAATGACCATTGGTGCAGTCTGGTTTGATTTTCACCGTGCCACCGGTCTGCATGCCATCGGCGAAGGTCGTGTGAGTGCAGGTTCGCCTTTATTTACTCTGGATTTAGTTATAGTGACTGAAGACCTGCTTCCTGACACCTTTGGCAGCAAGCACGTTCCAACCAACATCCGTGTCAACATTCTGGAATTTCGGAGCAGTTTCGAGTGTGGACGAAGCCCTGGCCTTACTTATTCCAATTGGATTGGCGGTGGTTGGTTCGGGCGTATTTGGACCACTAGTGGTATTGACGTTCAAAGGCACAAGTGACACACGTTTAATGCGTTACCCATCCTTCCTCTTCAGATTTTAAGCTGAGTCTATTTGTGCACTCTTTACTAGTGGGGTGACCATAAAAACCCTACAGAGCCATGGTGAATCTGTTCGACTATTGTGTAGCTTCAACTGGTTTACTGTGAGCTGACTAAACTTGTAATGTATTTTTGTGAGGCGGTCGGAAACTGGATTCTTATTCGTGCCTTTTCCTAGTATGTAGGAAAGCCATATACCACCGTCATTTTTGCAGCGCTAGGTTTAGGTACTTTAGTTTGGAATTTTATACTCGTAAATTATGCCACTGATAAAATCAGAAATCCAAGTTGCGAAGGAGCGTTCTCTTTTCGATAAGAGAGCGCCTCTTCGCAACTTGGATTTCGTTACTTCGGTCGCTGCAACCCATTGCGTCACGAGTCTGTCGATCGATGCCTTTTAGGTCGATGGCCGAGCACTCGGCTGTGAGAAGGTCGATGCGCATGGCTGCCTGTCTGTTTTCAATGTCAGAACGTCCTTAGCACTTTGTGGTGCGTCACATGACTTGGGGAACAGGTTTAAGCGGCTGGGTCCTTTGCTCTGATGTGTACATAAAGCGATTGGGCCATAAGAGACACACTTTCTGATAGATTCTTCACTTAGCGGTCAATTTCCCTAGTTGATGGCTCATCGTATAGATTTCGGAGTTGGCTTTCGTTTGAGACCACTATTGTTGATGTGTGTCTCTCGATTCGGAAAGTTACATTCGCTGAGGTGTTTCCGACCTCTAGCTGACGTGTTTAATGAATATAATGATTCGCGTGTTTCTGCGTGAAGGGTGCGAAATGTGCAATGTGGAGGTTAAGGGTGATCAACACAAGGAATATCCGAATGCTAGAGTGCACTAAATAGCGCCTGTTAAGCTGGATCGATTGCATTTGAGCACACCTGTGTGCGATGGGAATTGGACAGTAATTTTGCTCTTAATACGAGGTCAGAGAGAATACAACCGCACGGAATTGTGTCGTTACCCCAAAATTGTTGCGTTCTATGGTTGCCTTCGATGACGAATCTGTGAAGCTTTATGGCTTGCAATTCACGACAATCACTTCTCGACAAAACGGAGAGTGTCAAAGTTAATATCCGGTTTGAGTTATGCGACGTCATCATCATCATCATACACGTTAGCTAGAGGTGGGGAACACCTCAGCTACTGTGCCGCAATACAGTTTTGCGACGTCATGCGATATCGTTCCCGTCTTACCTAACTATTCTGACTTACGTAAGATGACCACTTTGGACCACACCCAACTCACAGAGTTCTTTACAGTGCTCTGCAATGATTCACCTGCTTGCCCGAGAAAAAATAATCTCCCATGAAAACCGATTATTTTAATGGGAAAACGACTTGAGCCAGTGATATACAACCGAAGCGTCAAGCCGTTTCAGTGACATTCGCGTCCATCGTATGACGCGTGCAGCTACATTCTTATCGTCTAGCTGGACTGAACTGGCAATCAGGGCGTCTGACGTAGCTGTTCTTGAACACGAACGCTCTTGGGTTGAAGTACGAAAATCCGTTCACTTTGCACAACTTCTACACATTTCGGTAGCAGCTTCTGCAACACGCTTTTACCTCCAAGGGTTGACTTGTGACTTTTGCTGGGATTCGGAGCTAGCAGAGGGTGAGACCAGTTCAACCGGAGTCGCATACAAGTAGGCAAATTTAACGTTGTCGCTGAATTATGACGATGAAGAAATAATACGATATGTTCACGAATCGTTTTCTAACCGATAGACTTTGGTAAGAACGCACGAAATGACCGAGTCATTTCACATTTTACGTCTTAAGATCTCTCTGTTTGGAATAATAAGTTAAATTTCGTGTCCCAGACAGTTATTCATCCGTCTACAATGGAGCATTTTAGTAAAGTCATGCTGATCCCGTGACACCTGCTTTTGCAGCCGTTTTTTGCGAAATTGTCCGCTTGCTCAGTATCCTGGAACGTACCTGAAACCGATCAAATACTAGAAATCTTACAGCTTATCGTCTTGTATGATTCCTGGATTCAGTAAAAATTCCATGACTCGAAGTTGATATCTGGAGTATACACGTGTGATGCGATTGTTGCACACAATCTCAATTCGTCATTAGAACCGGGGTTCCGAACTGGAGGGATTTCGATGTTGCTTCTCCCAAATACTGTCACTCTTGATCGATTTCGTCCACCTTTGGATTCATCAGGTAGTGATAGGCGAAGCTGGGAGTGGAACTCAGAGCCTAACGCTTAACGCCTTGATCACACCAGGTCACGTAGATCCGTGGGTAACGCTTGACACAGCGGTTAGGAATTCAAAGTTAGGTCTGGAGTACCATTGAGACCTCGGTTCACTTTGAAGTATACCTCGGTCATTGGGATCACTAGAACCATGTCCGAAATATAGGGAATTCGGCATTACTTCTTCCAGCACGACCTACTACCGGTTTCGTTCTCCTTTGAATTCACTGGTCAGCGAACTCGGGACCTAACGGTTAACGGCTAACACGTAAATCACCAGGCCACTAAGATCCGTGTCCAAAGCTTGGCACAGCGGTATGGAATTCAAAATTGGCGGATTTTTTCGCAGTTATTCTCAAATCAGATAGTCCTGCAGACGCCTGAAAGGGCACTATACGGCTGTTTTGATCTCTTGGGGCTGCTCAGTAGTGCGCATACTTGGGGATTCGAACCCACGGCCAATTGCGCCCTAACAGTTGCAAAATTCTATGTTGTACATAGTTACCGTCAGGGAAGTCGTGTTTTTCGGGACCAATCGTGTCCTCTACAACGTTCGTGACTTGCATAGCAATGATGGATAAGATGCGTCATATCGCAGTTAACTTGCAAATCATGATGACCCGTTGCTGTTCCCTATGGCTCAGTAGCATAAGCTGCTAGCTGGCAGTTCAAGCCACTTGTGGTCATGGGTTCGGATCATGATGGGGCCGATGAATGCGCACTACCGACGAGACTCAACAACTCGAAACGGCCGTCTAGTGCTTTTCTGTGCATGTGGATGACTAATTTGAAATCCCCTGCGAAGGAACACAAGCAGTTCACATCATGGTCCCTTATTCATGAGTAGTTCAAAGTTGGATTTGGAGTACCCGCTATATAGTTAGATTGTGACACGTAATCTCTATTGAGATCTCGATTTACTTTGAAGTAAACCTCAGTCGTTCGGATCACTAGGACCGTATCCGAAACAGAGGTTGCGATGCTTCGGCTTCCCAACACTGGCAACTCACGACCGGCGTTTTCATCCTCGTTTGGACTCATCGGGTAGGGACAGCCCGAGCTGAGAGTGGAACTTGAGACTATGGTTAACGGCTGACGCCTCGTTCACTAGACCACTGCGATCCATGAGCAACTCTTGGCACAGCGGCTAGGTATTAAACGCGAGTACTCCAAAGCCCAACTTTGATTTACTCGCCATTGTGCTCACGTATCTCAGTGACCTGGTGATACGGGCGTCAGCATGTAACCATTGGGTCCCGAGTTCCACTCCCAGCTCCGGCCTGATAAGTCCAGCTTTGTTGAACTCGGTCGTTAGGTTCCGTGTTGGGAATGAGTAACATCGAAGCCATACGCGCTTCGCGACGGCGAAAATACTGAACAACTGGATAAAGGATGTAAAAGACGCGGAAAAGGCAGCAGAGGTGAGTAAGAAATAGAGCACAATTAATCGGGTGGGAAAGTCGACGACTAGGTGTGCTATACTGAAGTCGCGAACGCCACCGATTTGTCAATTGTACGCATATCGTACAACGTATCTAACACCTGCTGTGATTGGTCCCGAGACTCCTATCACGTGGACGGCATGTGTCTACCTGACCAGGCAGTCTTTTGAGTGAATTCTTCACCATATCCATTGGCTATCTTACTGATTCACCAGACTGGTGTAGCAACGGCGAACTATACAAACCGAGGCCGACGGACGTGCGAAGAGAATGTAACCAAACCGCCATAAGGGATTCGGATTCGACACGGTGCGGGCCGTTTCGCGGTATGCTCAGTCAACGTACAACAGGTGGTGATCGCGTGGCAGAGAATCGTCGCTGGGAAGTGTCCCCGTTTCTGCTCCACGCAGTATCACTGGTCTTGTCTCAACGTTGTACACGTTTCCAAAAGTGTGCCTTACTGCTTAAGTGACTACTCTGTTCACGAATAGGTTTTTGATTACTATTCCTATGGTTCTTTGACTGCTCTCTGTGTTATCTTGTCTCTGAAATGCATTCTTCCTATCTTTTCTTCAGGAGCTCGTTTTCCTAGGCACTGCTTCAGGCTACCCCTCTCCGCACCGAGCAGCTTCTGGTTTAGTGTTGCGTGACTTGCATACCGGAGACTACTGGCTGTTCGATTGCGGAGAAGGAACTCAAATACAAGCTCAACTATCCCCACATGTCCGATTGGGTCGCATTACACACATATTCATCTCACACTTGCACGGCGACCACGTCTACGGTCTCCCTGGCCTTCTGTGCACTATCGACCAAAAAGCCTCGGCTGGAGATATCGATCAGCCTTTGTCAGTTACTACTGACATCAAACCTGCGGTGAATATTTACGGACCCCAGGGTCTGCGCCGCTATTTGCGGTTAGCGCTCGCACTGTCCAGGTAAGACGGCATTTCGTCTTCCACTCGTTTCTGTTTGTTGTTACTTCCGGATCATGGTAGGTATTACATTTTCACATTTTTTGACGCAGAGCTACTATGTTTGGGTTACAATATTCCAATCGACGTATCTGCGACGCTTTGGAAGATCGCCTCTCCTTACTCTGCACTCCACCGCAGGGATCGCCCTCTTTTAGAATCTTATGGGAATCGAACCTAGGTAGACAGCTTAACAATATATCACCGAGCTGCGCGAGAAACGCTCTCTATATCGGTTAGGAATTCACACGTTGTGCTTAAAAGCATCCGCAAACACGTTCAGCAGCACCAGTACTACGACGACACTTCGTGCTGACGCTTCGATGCCACGTGACCACCTAGAATCGCTTGTGAGCTGTGTATACGGCGAGATCGGATTAAAAGACAAGCGTGTAATCCTTTCGGCCATTGGTTTATAGACACTTTTACTTCTGTGTTATTAGTCTTCGCTAGCAGCATTCCCATTTCCAACTCCGGCTCTCTCTATCCGAAGAATCTGAGTAAGGTCGAGTCTGTTCATTTAGTCTTGAGAACGGGCATCACCGGAGGTTTCTACAACCTCTCGTCTTGTTTTTTGTTATGTAAAATTCAGTCATGTTCATCTTCATCGGTTGTTAATTTGCCCTCACCGATTATGATTATACGGAATTCCATGCTTTCCTAGTGTGCGCCACCATGTAGATCGATCTCTTTGTGAAAATTTGAGCTCATTCCTCACTACGACTTTCGAGCCGCTTCTACCCGCGTTCATTGTGTCTTCCAATGTATTTCGGTTCAGTTCCGTTAACCATTGATTCTCTAAGCACTGACCTTTAGTGGATTCACTTGCCACTACTAGCGATGCTAACTTGATGATAATTAACAATCGCTAAATAAAAAGGTAGAACGTTAATAGAATACAAGAAAAATTGAGTAGCATTAATCAGTGGAATTGTATACAAGGGTGCTATTGATTACGCGACTGCGCCATGTCTAATAAAGTCCCCAACCACTAGTGTGGACGACCACAGGGTCCCCATCCACAAATACGGCACTCACTAGCTTAACAGTTTCTCAGTCAAATCCCTCATACCTTTCTGTCACGTTGTCGACTGGCCACCTCGCGGTTTCACCCAATTTAGTTCAGCGACGATGTATACTGCGCATCGAGGAAGCTGACCTACAGGCATATGCATGACTAACCTAGCTAACTTAAGCTGTTCAAGCTTTGCAGATTCTGTCGCGTCACCAGGACGCTACTTCCTAGACATCAACTGGCGGCCTCAATATTACTGACTCGGTGCTCGCATCGGCCGTGAACAGTATTCCGCAAGCAGCAGTGTTCATAACTAGTCGATCTCTTAGTGTCTTCAGCATGAACTGGCCGTACTTTCCCACAGCGTTGTGCGGTCTAACTTTGATTAATAGACCGAAGTCCTGTTGTTTCAATAAGTGATTAAAACCTTGTATAGCGACACGGTCTTTGGTGATAAGTGAATTAATCACAGTGATTTGTACTCTCATCATTCACACTGTAGTGGGCCAAAAGCAGGTGCTACTGCGCCAAGTGTCAGTAGTATAGAATAATAAAATGGCGATTTCGATGCCTCAACAGAACGCTTGTGGACCGCGAATGTGTGTACACTATCGTGTGACCGGGATGTGTCTACCGATTGTCATGCACGCACCGTTAATTGCCGCACATTGCGCGCCCTGAGAAAACCCCGAGGAATTCTAACGGCAGTCCGGAGATCCAATCGGATCTCACACGATGCACTACGCACACAAGTGCGGCGTCTGCGTACCGCAACTTGCACAGCGCTTCAAGCGATGAGGCGCAGACTAGGGATACTTGAACGATCGATACATTCTGGTCAGTGTTTGAGGACAGAATGTTTCGCGGAAAACTGGATGCCTGTGGGCTCTGTACTGACCGATGTTTAGCCGTAGCACTGAAGTTACCGTTACGTACAGGGTCTACTGTGGTAAAAATAAATGGACATCGCGTTGGCGGACGAACGTACACGTGGTGCACAACTGCTGCTATTTCACCGTTCCCATTAAAGTAGACAGACTGATGTACACGTGAGAAATAAGTTTTCGAAGTACCCGTATTTGTATCAAAGGTAATGTTAAAACCCAGTTACGGTGGGCACGCCGGTAGACTGAAACCTAGCTTCCAAATAAGCACTGTAGGAAAAAAGCACCACTTTTAACTAGACCTTTCATATTAGGAATAGTAACGAATTGGTAGTATTTTGCTTTCCTGTCAAGTGAACCAAGTTCTATCTGGAATTTCGCTTTCCTAAATAAGCTACAATACTTAAAGAGTACCCGGTTATTTTAGTTCCATTTAGTGCAGTTGATAAATCATGATCCGGGCACCAAAGTGCTGTGGATGCAGTTGCCAGAAATCGCGTCGTCAGAGCGGCAAAAATGAAGAATGATAAGTAAATGCGATTAGACCTGAATATGGTATTAGTAGAATGGAATCAAGAACGAGGTGCATGAAGCTAATCGCATTGAAGTATGAACAGCTACACGCAAGAGAACGAATCCAGGGGCAGCATTGACTCCGACAATGCGCCACGTCCGTTAGAGTCTCTAACCATTACTTTGGGCTAGCACGAGGCCCCCATCTACGAATACGGCACTTACCTGCTTGACCAAGTCTCTCAGTCAATTTCAGAGTGAAACATGCAGAATTTACCATAGTTTTATCAGCGAGTCATTATCATACATACTATTAATGGCACCAAATATGTATTAATATTAGAATGCAGTCAACCCCAATGTATCCGTTCTGTAATAGTGAGCAATCTGAGAGTGCGCAGTCGACTCTTTATGTTAAATTTTAAGGTTTCTACACTGAAATAGGTTTGACAGGTTACCGGGTTGTTCTCGTTTTTTCTGTTAAAAATAGGCAGTCTTGTATCGTGTGTGTAGACTTCCCATGGTTGTAACGGCGGTCACAACGGTTAACCCGCTCGCAGCTGGGATCCGAGTATGAATTCGCAACTCCACTCACCAAGCAATTAGTGCAGCAGGTTGACATTTGCGTGAAACACATGGTCTTATTTTGTGAGTGAGCGGCACTTCGGCCGGAGATTCTCATGATCTCACCCACAACTTCAACCCCCTGAGAACGATCGTTATCGGTTTGAGATGCATTTTATCAAACACGTATCAGCGTCACAGCAAGGTACGCATTCACCCATTAGTGAGATGTGTGCAGTTTATCCTACAGTGCGACGCAAAGATACATGATGGACAAGCAGAATTTATGCCGCATAAGTGCATCAATCCAGCTAAAAGACCGGAACTCAACGCATTGGCGCCAGTAGGTACACAATCCTACTTCACGGGTTTCCCTTTCATTAAAAAAACGCAATCTTCGTCGATTTCCTACACTCCAGGTTCAGGTTTTGAATCCAAACGATCCGGAAAAACAGAATACATTTTGCCGTTGGTTTTTGAATCACGTGCATTCACTCCGTAATGTTTACGGAGGAGTCCGTTTTCCATTTGCATGGAACGGGCAAACAACCTTTTTGGGCTAGTTCAAATCCACGCAGATACAGCATAGCGCCAAGCTGATTATCTGGGCTGGAATAACCGGTCAAAAAATCGCCTTACCATTTTGCTTTTCCAGAAACGTGACCGGTAAGTTGTTTTATATTACTCAACGCTTACTTTTGCTAGCATTGTCGTACAAGGAATTGCTCCAGACTTGCGTACTGCCACAGTTCGAGGCGGATGGATTTCGCAGTACCGTATATTTGCAGCATGTTTGTGCACCAGCACATTATGCTCAATCGGTGCGAGAATATCTCTGCGAGGAATTCGGCCAATGTTGGATCGGTCGTGGAGGCCCCATCGAGTGGCCCCCACGGTCACCCGATTTAAACCCGCTGGATTTTTTTCTCTGGGGATATTTGAAACCAAGGGTTTACAGAAACAAGCCGATTTCCCTCGAGTAATTGCAGCAGAATATTGTGAACGAATGCCACGCCATCACCACCGTGACGTTTCAGAAAGTACTTGCTAACCATCAAGCGATTTCTGTACTGTAGTCGGAATGCAGATGGACGCTTTCAACATCTCCTTGCATGAAATCTTTGTCCGTCTTACCCTGTTTCTGTAAATATCTATATCAAGATTCAAATGCGCGCAAAATTAATTATATGAGCATTGCCTGCTTCTTCAACAGTCTGCGCCACTCCGAACGCCGTGATAATTTGGGGGTATCCGATGCGTAAATTAGAACCTACGTATTGGAGCCGTTGGTGCAAATGTTCTCCAATCCACACCGGAGCCATAAGTGAGAGATTATTTGGGGACTTCGATATGTCGTTTATATACAAATTATTTATCGGTCATGGTGCTATCGCAAACCGAGCTTCTTGCTTGTAGCAGAGGCCTCCGTTTGGGTACCGTGCAGCTTACCGATCCGTGTCAATGCGCCTAGTCTATGCAACCTCGGTGATCCATATTTTGCTCCGTCACATGGGTGACTACCCAGATGAAAGAGAGACTTGGCTAGACAGGCACTTCAACATGGCAGTTGCTAATTTTACTGTAAAAGGGATGGACTTATCGTTTTTAACACAGTAGTCCTTCTCTCCGCACACATGATTTGGGTTGTTTAGAATCAGGTATGCCATTATCAGGTCGCACTGAGCATGTCGGAAAATGGAGATGTCGAATTGTCCGAATGCCCGTCTCAGCAACCCGACGTGTTGATTACCAGTTTTCGATGCCTTTTCGGATTGCTGGGAACAACTCACGTCATCCTGAACCAGCACGCCTAGGTCGCGTTCGACGGAAGATCGCTGCAGTACTTGCTTTCCGAGCATGTAGCAGTAGGTACTTTGGTGTTGTATGGAGAGTACCTTGCATTTGCTTACGTCGAAACTCCGCAGCTTTTCGTTTGGCCACTGCTCTACCATGCAGCAAATCCAGATTCGCCTCCCACTGAATCGTGCGCCATATCTTGGTGTCGTCAACAAACAGTATAAAACTTGAATCCATGGTCTGTGCCAGGTGGTTGACAAATACCAAAAACAATATTGACCCTAGAACAGAGCGCTGAAGCATACCACATACGACATGCATGAGGTCTGATAACGAGTTTCGAACTCTAACCACCAGTGCCGTTGTAGGAGAAAGTTGGCAATCCAGATGAAAAGGGGGTCACCGATGCCATAATACTGCAGCTTGGGGAGAAGAATCCGTTGATCTAGGCGGTCGAATGCTTTCGAGAAATCATGGTAGACCATTTGGACGTTCTCTCCTGCGTCAGCTGACTCGGTCCAGCTACTCTGGGCTGTCAGTGAATTTGTTGTGCCCGATCGCTATCGATGAAAGCCATGTTGTTCGAGAGCAATGATATTGCAGTTTTCTGGATAGCACATCAATGCATCGGAAACGATGGACTCCATGACTTTGGACAGTACAGGATGAAGTGATACCGCTGAAAGAACTGAGTAATATAAAACCTACCGCTGACGTACCTGGAACAGAAAAAAGGTCCAGCTATGTGCGACATAGCATTTAGAAACTGTTAGAGCGGATGTATTTTGATGTACTCATGAGTAGGGGATTTTGATGTAATTAATTGAGGGCATGTGGATGACTATCTGATTTGGAACCGGCTGCGATGTACCCTCATTTAGCAATATCAAAAGCCCTACTGATGAGTACATCAAAGGTATCCACGCTGACATTTTCTAAATGTTGCTGTCAGTGCACATCGTGTCTTTCGGAGCCAGCCCTGTCCTCTACGGCGTTCGTAACTTGCATGACAGTGGAGGATTAGACGCGGTATATCGCAGTTAGCTTGTAAATCATGACGCTCCGAAGCTGTCCCCTGTGGCCCAAGGGCATAAGCTGCTGATTGGCGGTGCAAGACTCTGTTGGTCATGTGTTCGAATCCTGGTGGATGCGCACTATCAACGACACAGTAGTCTCAAGTCAAAGAACTTGCTCAAGGCAGGACGTCTTCGTGTAGCGTCGCTTCTGCAGTCCTTAACTTGCATCAGTCTCCATAAGGACTAGTGAATTATTGCACTGCGATTCTTGTGAACAGTTCATGATTAGTGGTAATACGACTGATGTTCTGGTTTTCGCTTGACCTGTAAGTCAGACTTTTCCATCCACCGTGACCCGCGTCATGTGTTTCCTTATCCTACGAGACATTGCACATGGTGGTCATCGGTCGAATTGCTGCATCTCTATCTTCAGTGCTGGTTAACTGATTTTCCTCCGGGGCGTACTTCAATGTGATGAAGCGTAGTCGTGGAACGTCACGAAAACGTGGTAGTTTCATTTCTGAATGTGAAGTCTTCACTAACCTTGCATACCCTGGAAGTATCGATGCCCCATCTTTGTGCTCCACGTGTTACAATTGTATGATCGCTTTGTTTTAAAAACAGAATGGTGTGATTCAGTTAGTTGTTTTACAGCAATAAAGATGCACAATGTCTCCGTCCCTAACGAAATTAGACAGAATCCTCTACACAGAATTAGATCTTGTGGACTAACTGATGAAGTTTGGGGAAAGAACAGATTTATCACCTCTATTGTACGCTGGGGCTTCATTAAAACACGGCGATATGCGTTGATGAGGAAGTTCATTCCTATTCTGGCCACAATCTGCCCTTTGGGATTCACTTTTAATTGCCTTCTTTGGTACTGGCTGGAGAATCTTGGAAACAGTTCATGATTTGTCCACGTGACCTCCTACTTTTCATGAAGCGATAACAGGATGCAGTCAGAATCACTAAGCTCTGTTTATCCATGGCCAATACTCCTCTGATGGTTCAGCGGGAAGCAAGACCTATCAACTGTGGATAGTACGCGCATGGCGGCGACTGAATTATGGTGATAAGTACTAAACCAAAGGCGTAAATTTTGGCCTAACAGCTATTCTGTTGATTAAACTTTCACCGCATATAAAACGCCACGGGGGTGTAAATATCTACGTTTCACAGGAAATCGTCGGTCGAGTGGTCTGTGCACCTGGTTTGCAACCATAAGGTCCCCGGCTCGAATCCGCGTAGTGGTGGGCGTCCTCGCGGTACACAGCCCACGCGCGACTGGTGGTGGTCACACGGCAGCGAAGCGCCGTTACGGCGTACAGCTGACACATTATTATTATTCGCAGGAAACTAGCATGGAGCTCTGTCACACGCACCAGCACACCGTCTTACAAATGGTGCTTAGGCAAACTGACCACTTTGTTGTGAAAACCATTTTTATTTCTCACTTTTTAGGGCGAATCAGTGGAGGTCGATGGACGACTGGTCGTCCCGGAGCAAGTGCTCAAGCCCCCAGTACGAGGCCAGCAGATTGCGATTATGGGTGACTCCTGTGATTCCAGTTCACTCTGCCGGCTGATGGCTAGCCTTTGCAAAGAAGGCAAAATTTCCGACAACGTCTTGGACGTATTGGTACACGAAGCAACTCTGGGTCAAAATATGGCCGAAGATGCGCGGAAGAAGGGCCACTCCACCCCAACTGACGTGACTCGTCTCGCCGCTTGTTTAAACGTTCGACTCCTCATTCTGACACACTTCAGCCAAAGATACGCTGCCATCGACCACACGAAGGGGTCCCAACCACAGTCCGACTTCGGTAGGTTGCCTCACCCTAATAAATACCACGTGCCTAACCAGATGATGTTCAATAGCTCTCTACCTTTATGACTCACCAATAGGCGATAAACTTAACCCGATTTATGTAGAGCTTTACCAGAACGACCTACCAGTACCCACGTTGTCATAAGTGAGAAATCACTGGGGGCCTCAAGGGCCCACGTTCGTACGGTGCATCCCCAGACTTTCGTCAGGCACCACTATCGGTTTGCTCCACGTCCCCGACGTCAAGCGTTATACTTGATACAATCAATCAAATCCGTTTAAATTTTTATGATCTGGCAACATTCCATCAGTGCGTACATTTTTGTAGTATCGTTGGGTTGCAGAAGTCACTAAGATGGTCTTCCACTCTGCTTGAGCCTATCTATTCAACCGAACTGGCGTTTGTTGTCGACAGCTGTTTCTCGCACGACTGACATTTCTCGTTTGTCTAGCTACCTACCCGGTGCTGTGACGCACCGGGGCAAGAGCAGGTCGCATGTCTGTTTGGCAGAAGACGGCTCCATGAAGCATGGGTCTGACTGGGATGGTTTGCAGTTGGTCGTGCGACTTTCTGACCGAGTACAGATAACCTTTCGCATCTAACCATAATACGAACCTAGGCGCTTGCCCATCGCACATTTGTATCAACTTTATCTACCCCTCACATTTTAGGTCGTAGAAATGAACCCGCCCACCGACTCCCCCCATCACTCTTTGCGTTGTCTGCTCTCCAGCAACCAGATGGGATATTCGGTACTTTGCACCGACGCCTCGTTGCCACACAACCATAATAGCCCCTTATACTATTTGGGAAGAAGATTGAAGAAAAAAGTGCCTGATGTAAGATCAAAATGAAGAAAAGGCAACAGTTGTACGCCGGTACGCAGTACCGAGGGTTCGCTGCCGTGTAACTATCACCAGTCGCACACTGCGAAGGTCGCCCGGTCCCTACGCAGGCACGAACCCGCGCCATTGGGTTACAAGCCAAGCTTGTTACCTTTAGGCTACGGGTCGGCAAAAGCATCAGCAGTACGCCAGTACCGAGGCTTTGCTGCCGTGCAAGTGTGGGCTAAGGATACTGCGAGGGTCGCCTTGCCCCTACGCAGACTCGAACCTGCGCCATCGGATTACAAGTCACTGTGATCTTTAAGGCTACGGTCTGGCAAAACTCAAATGCTCTAGATAACATTAGCGCCTGTAGAATAGTAGATGAAGTCACGACTCGTATAACAAAAGGTACTTTTGCCACTCTTCGCCACCTGTGGCGCCGGTGCGACATTACCCTCGTCCCAAAGAGCAGAGTTTACAAAACAGCTATGCGTTCAACCCTCCTGTACAGTTGTAAAACCTGGCCCGTCAGATCGAAAACTATAAAAAGGTTCGACTATCACTGCCTTCGCATTTTAACTCATGTATGCTTGGAACACCGCGTGAGTGATGAGCGTGTTCAGCACTTCGTATTTGATGCGAGAAAAGGGGGTTGACCGCTCCGACGGTTGGGTGACTTGTTGCGGATGCCGGTACACCGACACCCTCGACATGCGTTGTTTGCGTGCCGGTGGGTTAGACGGGAGGCCAAGCGATGACTTTGTCACGAGGAATGAGAATCCTCCATTTGAAGGTGGCGTGATATAGTGTCAAAGTGGTGTCAGCAGTATGCTGATATGCAGTGCCGACGCTTCGCTGTCGCGCAACCACTGCCGGTCGCTGAGCATATTGCGAGGGTCACCCTGTCCCTACGTAGGCTCGAACTCGCGACCTCGGATTACAACGTGGAATTGTGATTCTTTAGGTCAGAGGTCGGCCGCCAGTTGATGTCTCCCGACTACCGAGTTGGGACGCAAAGGACGATGAGCACTTATTGACATGGCCAAGTGCCGACTTCAGTGGCGTTAGTGTTGTGTTGTCCCTCTTCTTCCCGCTTAGCCTCCCCCTTCCATGTGTGATCTCATTTCGGGTGCACAATACTGTGTTACTTGTTTTCATTTGGCAGTTATCAATATCTCGCTTTTCCATATATCTTATCGTTCTGTATCGGGGCACAATCGCTATATTTCTCACCTTGAGCTAACATGTACTGATGATGGACCAACATTCACGATTAAGGCGCTCACATCTTTTCACAACGCCTGCAGTCTCAAACAGCTGGCTATTGTGTGAAAGTGTGGTGGTGTCCGCAAGACAAGCTCCCTGCCGTTTTCGTTGCCTCGCGTCGTAATCCACCTTACTCCTACCAACCTCGCACACGGCTTGGTCGGGCTGTCTGGTTGGGGGGAGCGGAGCGAGAGTACACACTACTGGTATCGATTACAAGCACCTAAGGATGCACAATATGTTGATTCATCCCGCGCTTTTACATGGGTTTAGTCACCTCCGCAGTAACTAAGCCTGCGTGCAACCACTTACGTTTGTATTAGCGCGATGCGATTACCACTCGGATGTCTTCGACGAGCGCTATGCATGCAAGCTGCTACATCGGCACGGCGCTCGATGCGGACCGAAATCTCGCTGTATCTTCTTTCAATTGACATTTCGAAGTGGTAGTATGATTCAAAGGTACACCCGTAGCACAATCGCGAGTACTTGTGCGCGGGGTTGGATACCGTATGTGCGCCCAAACCCGTGCAGACATCGGGACTCGAGCCCAGGGTATTAAAGGTGTAATCCAAACGCGCTCGAATCATTACACCATAGAGATCCACTTTGCCTTTGAGGCAAGATGCTTTCGCACATGTTTGTCCACATCGAAATGAGCTAGCGACTGTCAACATTGCCGCTTAACAATTCATTTTCTTATTGATTTCAGGCGACGAACCGGTGGGATCGAAAAAGCCAACAGGATCAAAAGCGAAGGAAAAGCCAAGTTTGCAGGAGTTACTTGACGAAGCCAAAGGTGTTCCATTCGATGGAGAGATCATTTTAGCGGACGACCTTGCACTTGTACAGGTCCCTCCTGTCCCGCACGAATAAGTCCCACCGGGGTGCACTGAAAACCACGTCGAACTCTGGTTGTTCATATCACCACATTCGCTCTTTCCCTGATGACTTGAAGACACCAGTTGTTTTACAAACATCTCTTTCTTAGCTGGCTGCATTTATTGATTGCACCTTGACATATCGACTTCACTAACACGCTCCGGCGATTGTTTAACGGAGTCGTTAGCCTGTTCGCCAGACAACAAAATTTTGATACATATTTGTCCAGCACAAGCTCTTCCCCCACCTGATGTCTGGGGACATGGATTGGGCTGTGTCGGAGGGTGGTAATGCGGCCGCCAACCAAAATCAGTTGCACCCAAGCGCTTAACGCTTACGATTGATCAGTGAGCTGAACTCGGCATACACAAAGAACATCGATTCTTGTCAAAATATTAGTCAAATAAAATGGTGGTGGGGACATCATACAAGGCCGCGGAGTCATTCCGCCAGAGAGTAGCATGGGGATATGGGGGAAATAAATAAGTCTAAAACATCATTTATGTACAAGTTAAATGGTTTTCTTTTTGTTTCGTTCGATGGCCGAGGGTTTGTCGAAGACCTGTTTGAAACCACCGCCATGCGTGGATTGGAATTTGACATTCTGTGGATTACTCGTGGACCACGGGGAATCGAACACCGTTGTGTCTTGATCCACCAGATGGGTGTACTTGGTGCGCCCAGCTCGACCGAAGTTTTTAACCTGCATCGTAGGAAAACAATGATAGGCATCACATCAGGGAGATCAGTCATTAGCTGTGCGAAGAGGAGCGATCATTAAAACATTGGTGATATTCTTAGCGACCTGTACCAGTGGCATTTCATCGTTATCAACGATGATCAGTTTAGTGCACTGCCTATGATTTGTGAATCGATGATATGCAGTAGATCCAATTGATTTCACTCGCGTTTCCGTGACGATGATATTTAACAACGATGAAAACGAAGGAACGAAAGCAAACGTAAGAAACATCAAATTAAAAGGTGGGTTGTGAGAAATTGTACCATTTGACTGTCACTGGAACAGGAGGTTACTTGGGGTGTGGCCGCTTCGAAGTCCCCATCTAAGATGGCATGCGCTAGTACGATTGCCTCTAATCATTCAGCAATCTGCTGTCATCGACTTATCTCTTGGATGTACGCTTGGCCAGGTGGAACATCAGCAAACAAGTTGACGGGATGTGCAGTCAGCAGTCAAGTCTAGAGCACAATGAAGGGGTTCCATGGGGAGCATCGACCGATGTGCATGGAAACAGGTCTGCAAGAATCGCTTTATCAATGTTATTAGTATATATCCCTCACACTTCAAGCCAGCCCCATATCGCTGATGCATCACGCTTTGCAGTTTGTCTCTGCATCTGATGTGTCTGTGTGCGACTATCTTCATTCCAGTGCAACGGTCTGTACAAACGTGCCTTTCGCAGCACAATGTACGCGCTTCGCTCCTACTAGCCAGTGAAAATGTGCTCAGGATCTCATCGCAGATGGAAGCAGCAACATCGACAATCTTGGTGGCAATGGTGTCCCGGTACAAGTTGAGTATCAACGCCGAGTTGCTAAGCTGTGCGACCGACAGTGAAGCTAATGCGCAGGGCTCGAACCGGTACCGGATTTAAACACGAATACGGTACAGTAGATTGTAGTGGTATGTCGATAAAGTCAGGATAAAAGAAGTACACGGTTGTTGTATGCGTCTCAGAGGGACGAAACAGCCGTTTTCTTCCAGGTGTGTGATGGATCCCTGACCTAAATAACCTTTACGTCTTTCTTAGCTCCTTGCTTTAGCCGGTCTTGTAATCAAGCGACAAAGCTTCAAACATAAAACATTGTCCCTAATGCGTTAGACACACATGTCCGAAGGCGGCAGGTCAGCCAACTAGCTGAGCGATACAGTTTTACCGTCTAGTACTATCCACGTGTGCTCGACTGCTTAAGAATGTCCTCCTACAGACGCACGCACCCCTTACGGGCAATTAGTGTATTCCTCCCGGTGGCTGGTTCATTGCTGCAGTTTCCTAAAACGAGTAAGCAGTGGGTTCGGTTGCAGGTAACCCGGAACAAGTATTATCTTAAACAGTCGCGCGATGTGTATTGCACATATTAGGTTTGCGCCGCAAAGGACAACATGCACGGCTCATGCAGCCTGATTATCGCGTCTCTATTCCCCGGAGCCGGAGAACATACGATGATTAGGTTCACATAACAAACCATGAACCCTCTAAACCATGCGTGGTGGCTATGATTGGATCCATGTGTCGACCGAAACTCCTTGGCGCTAATCATCAGTTCGGTCATCCCATTCGTTTAGCATTCGCCGACGAGTTTTTACTGATTCCTTCCAACAGATCACGAGCTAGAAAGTCCAAAAACAAAGCACCAAGTGATCGTTTCGCCTTATCGGGGATCGTTAGTGGTGTGCATTCCCTTGGTCCCCTTCATGACACCGAACCCATGACAGCTAATGGCTTGCACAACTAAACAGCAGCTTATACTATATGGCTCCAGTTCCCTGAAGGGGACGGGGAATGCGCACGACTAACGAGTCCAAAGGGGTCGAAACGGCTGTCCGGTGCTTTCCTGATCGGTATCTGGTATATGGGCTGGTTGCGATTAGCTCACTTATTCACTAAAATTCTTTTACTCATTAAGATATAGCACACATTGACGCTGAGCTCAGGAGAGTTTCGTAAATCATGAATTTATGACAGACCGGTGGCGGAGTGTTTCAGGATATGGGTCACCAATTTGAAACCGCGTAGGTACTGGCGGCCATGCAGTATCCGAGCCCGCATTTTGATCGGGGATGTCAGCTGGAAGCAAATCGTCAATACGAGGTTCCGGCGTACTGTCGATATATAATTTGCATTAGTGCCCATTTGTGTTTGCGCAGGTAGTTTCCATGCCGTATTAAACATAAAAGGCATCAACAGCAGTATGTCGGTCCGTAGTACCGAGGCTCTGCTGTCACACAACCACCACCAGTCGCACGAGGATCCCTACACGGGCTCGAACTCGCGCCCTCGGATTACAGGACAGACTTCGTGATCCGCTCAAGGCTACGGGCCACATTAGATGTGAAATAATGGAGTAGTTGTAGACAGGATTCTGATGCTAAGTTCAACGATATAATACAAGGCTTCCTCTACAGAGTAACAGAAAAGTAGCTTGGATTGTCATGTTAGATCAAAGCCTGATAGCTACCGTAATTAGCTCTCAATAAAAACTAAATCAAATCACCGTACTCATGAGTAATCAAATATTCAGCCTAACAACTAAATCTTGCATCGCACATAATAATTCCTAGTGGATACCATGACTCTAAGGACCCAACGCTGTCCTCCGCAATGCTCGTAACCCGAAACGCAGTGGATGATGCGTTGCAATATATCGCAGTTGGCTTGTAAGTGATTACGACCCGGCGCCGTCCCCCGTGGTTTAGTGGCATAAGATGCTAGATTGTGGTGCAGATATCGAGAGGCCATGCATTCGGTTCACAATGAGGCCGAGGGATGCGTGCCACTAACGAGTTCCAACAGTACGAAACGTGAGCCGGATGCTTTTCCGGACGTGTGGAAGACTATCCACAAGTAATCCAAAATTTCGACCTAACAGCTTCTAAATGCTATGTCGTACATTACTGCTGCTATGAGAGGCCGCATACCATCGACAAAATAACCACTGAAACATAAAGAAAATATTGCCCACCTGCATGACCGCTGGAAGTTTCGTTTTATCAAAATGATCCTCAAGCGTTGGCTGCGCGAAGTCCTGTTGGAAGACCGGTGCTTCAACACTAGTGACGAAGAAGGCACCCCGATGGTAGTATTTCTGAAGGAATTTGTATCGGCCCTTCACCGCCTGATTGGTCACTTTCTTCGGGTTGCGCAAGAATTCTTCTCGGCGTTGCTCCTCTGTCATCTGGCGAATTCGCTCGATCTGAAAATGAAATATAGGCAACTGTTAGTTAAAGTACAGATTCTTTCGTGCAATATTTGACTGACGAATTTAACAGAATAATGAAATATTCTCCCACAGAAAACAATTCGATATATACGCACCTCATTCTTCTCCTGGATCTGGGCTTCACGAGCTTCGCGGTCGCGACGGATTCGCCGTAGTTCGCGGACCTTCCATTTCTCGTACTCCTCCTGCTCAGCCTGTGGATTGCCTTGACCTTCATCGGAGTCTAGCGCGTCCAATGCGTCCTCGATTGCATGAGCTTCCTCGGCTTCGCGACGCAATTCGCTCTCCAACAGCTTCAAAAATTAAAACAGCATATAAGCTTTAGCGATACCCATTGCAAATGGACTTTATTACAGAGACGTCTTCATGATGTGAAGAAATTCACATGACGACTAGTGACAATACAAATGACAGTGTCATAACATGTGGATGAAAATACCAAAAAAATAAATATGGTGATTTTTGTCCAGTATGAACCGGTGGATGCACGCTACTGACGAAACGGTGGTCTGGCACTTCTCTGGATGCGTGAGTCATGCTGCAAAGAGCGTTTTCAAAACCAACTTTAATGGCCAGTGATCGTCTGAGCAACTTACATTCCCCTTCGGTTGGTGGCGGCTTGCAAGTGAAGTCGTGGCTCTGGGAGTCATCCCTGTCCTATGCACACATAACAGTGGTTGAGCAGCGCCATATGGCAGTCATAGCGGCCCACCGCCGTTACGCATAACTGGGTGGCTTAAGTTGCTACCTCTCAAGAGGTAGGGTCATGGGTTCCGATCCAGTAATTGCGCTCTACTGACGAGCCCCGCTGGGCGAAACCGCTCTCCAGTGGTGACTCACCATGACCACGGCGAACATTTTTTCAAATATAACAAGAACTCTCTCTAGTGCGTGTGGTGAGTGCGAAGCTTATTGGTCGATAAAGTTTGCCGTGACAACCCATCGAGTAACATCGCCACCAGTCGGCATATATCATCAACCATACGTGTCAGATCTGATCGCTAACCATACCACCAATCTGCAAACTTTCTCCTCAAGGCTGTGTGACATACGCTGCTTCTTTATTCATTCTTACTGCAAATATATCCGCGATTCCCAAACGTTCTTCTGTTGGGGACTTAGTATGATTTGCTGTTGACCCGTTATCGTCTGATTTTCTTAATACTCCTATACTACTGAAATTCGGCGGAGTAGTATCCGCATTTTTCCACCACAATACGAACGACCAAACATACGGGTTACTGCTTTCTGTTCTCAGTATTTAAAAGGCCTTGCTGGCCGAAAAGCTGCCAGAGGCAGCATTATATTGACCGGCAGCTAATATGCGAATAATCCCCGTTACTATTCCCGAATAAGTCGCTTACTCATCCGTAAGAAACGTCACGAGCCTCTTGTTTATCAGGGCATTCGCGACAGATTCACGTTCGTGAGGTCCAGTCAGGAGCCTGAGGCATGTGTTGATTGCGATTATAGTGGCATCTTTTTAATGGCGATACGAAGTGATCACTAGGGATACTGTCTGAGTGCTTCAGCCTTCCCCTAGTAGGCCGATGAATCAAGTGGACGTGAGTAAGGCATCGGCTAGTTACACGCATGAAGCATTATATGTATTGTGAAGTGTTAGCTTATTGAAGGACATGGAAGCAAGTGATTAAAGCTGGCCCAAATGGCAGTATAAACCCTACGATCCTCTAAAGGAGCATTCTCAGGGGAATTTGAATCACGCCGAAAAGAAGATTTGTCGCAGCCACAGCCAGAAGGCAGCCACATGTCGGTGGCACTAGGTGACCGTTTCTTCCTTTTGTTGATGACGTGCATTTCACCCACTGGTGAGGAGCTAGAACCCGTTAACCTTTTGTGCTTCGAATCTGTGATAGGAATTAATGAGCCAAGATCGCGGCAGAAGAAGTAACAGGCAACTACAGTGCAGTTCGTTCACTCTGCCATGCGCGCTTCCAACATGCAGGCAGGGTACCGGCAGTACACCGACACATCGTACCGACGCTTTGTTGTCACGCGAACCCCGCCAGACGCGCGAGGGATGGGTTTACTACGAGGTAGCCCGTACTTACGCGGAGCCGAACCAGAGAATGTAGTTGGCTCCAAGGGACGCGGCCGCCCTCTGCTCAGGCGGTAATCGTTTTGATAGCACTGCAATCTAGAAAGAGCAAGTGCTGGTTTATAGCAAGTAGTGTGATGTGGAATAGAGTGGATTTCAAGTGAGTCATCCTAATCATCATTAATAGTATTATGTAAGCCATTTGAACTGATGCTTCGCTGCCATTCAACCATAACGACCTAGGGAACAAAGTATAATGAGAGAGAAGGGGGAGTTACCGTCAAACCTTAATGCCCTAAACAAACGTTCAGGGTCGACGCGCCTACACTTTGTGTTAACAACATACCTATCGTGCAAAAACAAGGCAGCATCGGCGAAACAGCTTCCTTGCGGCTTTCACTACCCCGCGTCAAAATCAGCCATTATCCCACAAGCAACACTGCAATAAACATGTGTTAGCCAGATAGTCCGACTAGGAGATGGTAGCAGACGCGCCACTGGTGCCGACTGCGAGCCATATCCTGACAAGTCTCCAGTCATGTACAAGGCGAGTCACGTGGATTCCAGCCTGGTTTGCGAGACGGATTGACAGCACCGATTTTGCTCGTCAGTGACTTCATTTCCCGCTGCCAAGTCAACTTTTGTCCACCCTACATCTGGCAGACAAAACAAGACTGTCCTCGGTAAGCAGTGATCAGGCATACATAGTACGTGTCCATGCGAACGCAACTTGTTCAGTGCTATCTATTGTTTTAAGGAACTAGCTTGGTTATCACTGCCTAGTGATCGCCTACGCACATCATCGTTGCGGACACGTTGGTGCCATCCGACACCAGCAATGCTCCGCAGACAACGATGATCAAATACTTGAAGGCGCCTCAAATCTCGAGACCGAAGTCTCACTCCCGTATAGTAAGACGGCCCTCATTGTGGCCTTGTAAACACAGCCTTTCAAAAGGAGGAAAACCCCTTTCTGATGCCACAAATATCGCAGATTCAAGAAGGCAGTCCTGACTTTTGCAATACGTGTACTGATTTCAGTGCTTATACACCCATCGAGGTAAGTGAATTGATCAACTACCTCGAGTTTCTTGCTATCTAGGGTCAAGGGATCATCAAGTGGCTTATGGTCCTGCAACAACACTTTTGAAGTTGCGAAGCGCATGCCAAATAATGGGACCACTCTAGAAAGGCTATTCACCGTTGATTGGACCACCCAAACATCGTTAAACAGCAAGTGAATAACCGCTACATTAAGATCAACTAGCCTTTCACCAGGTAGCACCGCAACGCCTGCATCGTAAGATTCCGCAAGAGAACACTCCATGATGGAGCCCAGAAGGAAATTGAACAAAAATGTGGAAATTGAACAACTCTGAGGCACGTCACTTGTTGTCGGAAAGCTATCCGACGGGTCACTGTAGACCCTGACGCGCCTGTAATGATCAAGTGCAGAACGCGTCAAGTGTTCACATATTTCATAGGAACACCTTTCCGCGCAAGTATTTCGAACAGAATTGGTCAATCGACTGAATCGAACACATTCGTTATGTGTGACGCTGCTCTAACACTTGCCGCGACGTGAATATATGGTATATACAGCCGAGTCGAAAGCAGAAACCTGCCTGCTTTTATCTAATCCTGGATTCTCGTTAACCACTAATCTATCATCGTCCTTTGGACATCAGAAGGTACATTGGGAAGTGTCGAGTGAGTGAGCCAATTCGCAACACCAGGAGGGATACTGTGAGCTCATTGGCAATACGTCGAGCACCAAGCAGAAGTCAGGTATTACATTGCGCACCTGATCGTCAGCCCTCAGTAGCTCAGTGGTAGAGCAGGGGACCGGTAACTCGTTGGACCGGGGTTCGATTCCCCGTCGAGGCAGATTGTTGTGTGCAGTTTAATCGTGACTTCTACTTTCTACGAACATTACACCTCACAAAAATCCACAAGTAATCTACCATCGCCCTTCGGACATCAGAAGGACAGATACTTCGGTCCATTAGGAAGTGACGAGTGAGTGAGCCAATTTGCAACACCAGGACAGATACTGTGAGCTCATTGGCAATACGTCGAGCAACAAGCAGAAGTCAGGTATTCAATTGCGCACCTGATCGTCAGCCCTCGGTAGCTCAGTGGTAGAGCAGCGGACCGATAACTCGTTGGACCTGGGTTCGATTCCCAGTCGAGGCAGATTATTGTGTGCAGTTTAATCGTGAGTTCTACTTTCTGCGAGAATTGAGGCTGGTAATCATTACCATTATACACGTTAGGTACTGTGCCGCAATACATAAAAGAAAAAAGTAAATGTAACAGTTGCATGCCAACTGAGCTACCAGCAACGGATGGGCATCGTTCCGGTAAGCTACCAGCCGGCTACTAGGCAACAAAAAATAATTACGTAAAATTATATTATGCTACGAACTAAGATCATGATTGAAAAGGAGGTTAAAAGGGATGGGGAGGGACAAAAAAAACTCAGCACGAACGCCACTGAGGTCGGCTTCTTGCCATGTCAGCAAGTGTATCCAGCCAAAGGGTTTCATCGTCTTTCGAACCCAAACCAGGGAGCCGTGGAGTTCCAACCGAGGCCAGCTCCGAAGTGAGGGGCTTCATTCCTTTCGACCAAGTCATCGCTTGGTCACCTCTCCTCTTCTTCCATCCAAACCCCCGGCGCGCAAACAACGCACGTCGTGGAAGTCGGTGGGCTGGCATGCGTAACACGTGGCCGAGCCATCGGAGCCTGGTGCGTAAAATAACGATGCTGAACAGTTCAGTTCATTTACCTGTGCCGTAAACAAGGCGTCGAATACGTTCGTTACTCACGCGGTGTTCCCACCAGATGTGAGCCAAACTGCGAAGGCAACGATGGTCGAATGTAACTAGCCTCTTTATGTCCGCCGATCTTAGGGACCAGGTTTCGCAACCGTACAGTAGGGTCGAACGTACCGCTGCATTGTACACTCTGCCCTTCAGGGCGAAAGTGATGTCGCACCGCCGCCATAGGCGGTGAACACTAGCAAAAGCACTTCGAGCTTTTGCTATACGGTTCGTGATCTCATCTACGATCCCAAGGGCGCTGATACAACTTCCCAGGTAGTTGAATTTCTGAACGACTTCTAGCTGGTCCTCACCAACGGTCAGCGCAGAAAGCGATCCAGCCCAATCTTGGAGGAACGCTTTGCATTACGATGGTGCAAAGCAAAGCCCGAGGCGGCTGACAGGCAGTTT